AGGCTCTGGGGACCTGCTGATGGCATTTCATAGATTCCCAGACTGGTTCGGGTTGGAACGGGCCTCAAACCTCACCCAGTTCCAACCCCCTGCCACGGGCAGGGACACCTTCCACTAGACCAGGTTGCTCCAAGCCCCGTCTCAGCTGGCGTTGAACACTGCCAGGGATGGGGCAGCCACAGCTTCTCTGGGCAACCTGTGCCAGGGCCTCAGCACCCTCACAGGGAAGAACTTCTTCATATATAATCTGTCAATTATTAGATTCTACAACATGGATTAGAAAAAACAAAACACTTCCAGATTCTTGCAGTAATAATTAATGCCTCTGAAGTGTTTCTGGGCTTTATTACAGTTACATTAGACTGTTTGGAAAACAAAATAGACTTTTTGTAATACTGACTTTTTGTAATACTTTTTGCAATACTGAGTCTTCATTGCAAGGGCAACTTTTGATTTTTTTTCCCCTTTATGCAGGGATCAAAGCTGGAAATCCCTCTGTGGCTTGCTAAAGGTCTGCATGACAGCAAGCGAAGAATAATTTCTGTGGAACTGCCAAAGATTTACAAGGAAGCCTGGAGGACAGTGCTGAGCGCTGATGCCAATGTGGTTGATCTGCATAAAATGGGGCCATACTACTATGGCTTTGGCTCACAGCTCCTGAATTTTGACAATCCAGAGAACCCTGAGATAGCCCAGACTATCCTGCAGGCAAGTATCTGAACTAAGTCTTGAAATTTGGTTGTATGTTTTTCCATCTTCCTCTTGTTCCCAGCTGCTCAGCAGCCTTCAAGAAGAATAACCATTTGTTTTAATTCAAATGACTGCTGAATTGATGATGCTCTTCTAGATCAAGCTGTAGGATGACCCTTTTGGCAGCTGTACAGTCTGGTGGTAGAAGCCTCGACTATGCACCCAGGAGTGTAATTTTAGCTTGGAGTTTTCGCACTGTCAATATGGTATTTCATAAAATCCTGTAAAACTAGAGGAGACATAAGATTATTTAATTGTGCCCCCAAGGGAGGATTAATTCACCCTCTGTTCTTTCTATTTTTCTACTGGGTTTTTAAAGCTCTGTAATGATGACACTTGACACTGCTCAGGGCAATCCATTTCAGTGCTTTGCCATCCTAATCATAGAAACTTTCCTCTCATGTCTAAACTAAAGCTCCTTCACAGCAATACAAGCTCTATTCTGTTTGCCTCATCCGAAGTAAATGCTGAGGATGGATTATTCTTTTCCTTCCTGCAGCAGTCCCAGTTCATTTGCCAACTCTCTGTGGGCCATGCTTGCTAACCTCTGATTGTCCTTCCAGTTGATCTGCATTCACTGTGATGTGCAGTGCCCTGAGCAGCATTTAGTCACCTGCTCAGGACTTGTGCTGATGGAAACAAGAAGATAACTGTAAATTTTGTAGGCTATGGTGCTCATCACTCATCACAGTCTAGCAACTTGTTTTTTATGATGAAGTGACATTGCTAGGTGTTTGGTTTGCAGTCCACAGTAAGATGGTACAGACTGCATACACGGAGAGATATTCCTCTTCCTGCATTCATGCAGTTTCCCGTTTCTGCCTTAATGTAAAACTTCCGTTAGTCTCAGCTGAATTGCCTCCTGTTGTTTTCACACCATGTTTCTAATTTGTCAGGATCTTTATAAATTTAGAGTTTTGCTGTCTAACTTGCTTGCTGTCATCTCCTTCTCCTGCATGTTTCTGGCTAATTTAACAAGTGTAACTTCTATTCCTTTAACAACTAATGTATCAAACAGTACTTGGTTCCAGGTAGACCCCTGTCAAATGCCATCCAGTATGTTCTACACTCCTGATAGGGAGGATGTATAATTGTCTTTACTGACCATGGGTGCCTCCTGACAGGTACCGGTGTGCTGGTCTTTCTCCCTTTGTAAGGCCTGTCATCCTGCCATGATAGTAAACTAGGCTGGGCTCTCAGAGTTGGTTCCTGGAAAATCCATGTTGGCTGTTACTCCTCTGTTTTCTTGCAGAAGTTTATGTGTACTTCATTTATTCCAGTACATTTCCAGGATTTGATACTGATGGATGTGTAATTTCTTGGCTCTTAGTTCCTCCCCCTCCATTTCCCCTATCTCTTTTGAAAGATAGGTAACATCTTTGCCAGTTTCTGGACCTCTGTTCTCCTTAAGCTTTTAAAGATAACCACTAACAGCTCTGAGATTTCTTCAGCCAGTTCTCTAAATAGTCTGGGATGATTGCTATTGGTTTGTTTTTTTTTTTTTCTTTCTCTATTTCTTAGATGAAGACTGATGCAGGGAGGCTTTAAAGCACTGCTGCTTTCTTGGAGTTGTTCACTGAAAGCTCTCTTTCTGCGTTGGGGAAGATAACCACACCTTTTCTTGTCTTTTCTCTTTGTGCTAATGGACATCTTGGGGAAAAAAGCCACATTAGCACACATTATTTACTGATAGAAAAATCAAAGCACACGAAGTATGCTTTTCCCTGATTAAAAGCAAACGAGGAGAGTTGTGCTGACTTTAAAAATAAACAAAATGCCAAAAAAAGCCTCTCTCCCAAACATTCGGGGACTATATATATATATATATATATATGCGAAGTGTAACTATTTGGTAACAAAGCCAGAAAGAGAGTTATTAATTTATAATGTATTTGTTTTATAAATAAATCTCTAAAACCCTACAGTTCTAATAATTAAAATCAGCTTCTGAAATAATAAAGCACAGTTCTCGAAGACTTTCAACCTTTTTTTTTAATCCCTAAGAGCAAAGATAAGGGAAATAAAAATCCTTAAATATGTCTTGTTGCTTAGCTTTTTAAAATGTAATTTATTAGTTGTAGATTTGATTTTGGGTTTTTTTTTTTCACCTTTTTCATGGCTAAGTGTTTTTTCAGCATACTAAAAGCTCTACAGTGGTGGCTTGGCTGAACTGCCAGGCCCTTTTACAAGTTGCAGTTTGTATGTTCCTGCAGCAGCTGCTGTGGCGTGAGATCTGTTCTACCTGCTCTAAAGCTGTGATTGCTTGTGAAGTGAGATAGAATAGATTGTAATTGTGTTATACCTTGTGCTCTGCTCAAGCCTGTCATTAGGAAGGAGCCAAAGCCTAATTCTGTACTTGCTTCCCATCCAGTAGATCAGGCACTGATCTTCCAGGTCAGGCAGGAAAAGTTTTGTCTCTGTATCCAATGTTAATAGGTGCTATGCTGTTTGCAGACCTTTGCCCAGTTGTGAGCTTACACCCAAATGTGTAAGCTTTTCAGTCTTTGAAAGCTCAGACTCTAGCATGTGAGCTGGAGAAACCTCTGTGTCACCTGTCAGTAATTCTGCTTATCTTCTTTAGACATTTATTAGCCGTTTTCGTCGTATCATGGACTCCTCTCAGAATGCCTACAACGAAGACACATCAGCACTGGTAGCTCGGCTGGATGAACTGGAGCGAGCCTTGTTTCAAGCTGGCCAGAAAGGGCTGAATGACTTCCAGAGCTGGGAAAAGGGACAGGCTTCTCAAATCACAGCCTCCAGTCTGGTCCAGAATTATGGGAAAAGAAAGTTCACAGAGGTGGATGGTTAAAAGCCTGAAGAATGTGGAGCTACAGTGAGGGACACCAAGAGATTTACAGTCTGTCTGTCACAGAAGATAAAGATGAATCAGCTTTGGGGAAGGACAGGCAAACTGTCCATTAGTGGGAATTCTTCTCTTTAACATCTTCAGATCAGACTCGTGTGATTTTTTTAAAGGCAGACAGCAAGGGTATAAAAAAGAGATGGCATCACATTGCTGGACAGCTTTACAGCTTACTCATACCATTTCTGAGGTTTTGCACTTCAAGTGTGTACTAGATGGCTGAAAAGGTATGAGAGGATTTTCTAGAAGGGTCATTAATATTTATTATTCTTTATCTCCCCAGCTGATACTTACTATACAGGATCTGTCTGGAAACAAGTGTAATTCTTTGTATTTCATCTTGACCGTACCATTCCAGCCTCCTGGGAACAGCAAACGCCAGGTTCCCTGTTCTTTGGAGAGCCCCAGTGATGATACAAACCATACGAAATTTTATCCCATTTCTTACAGACTGACATGGAATGGGTTAGGGTTAGGGTTTTGCTGACTTTTGTACATAGGGTTAGCACCCTGGCAAAAAATGCCTCCTCTAACCCATGGAGCGAGCAAAGAGGCCATGCAGGTCTCACGTGCTGCCTCATCTTTTCTCTCCTTTGTCCTGTGGTCCTGATGCTGCACGAGGTGGAGAATGTTCTTGTTTGATGAGACTGACTTTCACAATGGATGCGTCTCTGTGCTGGATGTTAAACTCTCTGCTTGTTTTACAGAGGAGGCAACAGAAGGCAACAAAGAGTTAGTCTAGACTGGATCAGAAGCAGCAACTTTAATGGAAGCTCTCCGCCATTACCAAGCTCTGATCCATCTGTTTTCCCATGAGAAATTGTTCTGATTCCTAAATTCGGTCCGTATAAGGGACAGAGCAAATGCACTGAATTTCCATCCTTCTGATCCATCTAAATGATCCTAGTAAATGTCATTCTTGCCTGTTGGCACCTTGCTAAACAACACAGTGGTTATCATCCTGTGTGGGTGCTCTTAAACCTACGTTATCTGAAGTCCTGCTGGATTGGAGACAGAAAGCACATGGCTGTCTCTATAGGACTTAGTTCCTGCAGTCATCTGGATGGTTGTCCTTCAGAAGCAGGTATGGGATGTGGGTGCTTCAAAGCATCTGTAGAAGGTGGACCTAAGTAGAGGAGGCAGACAGTAGTGATATGGAGTGCTTCCTTTTCTGTGGGAGTTACTGGGAGGTGACAGCAAGATCCAAATCCTGGGAATTGTTACTGGACTTGCAGATGCACTTGGATATTGGATACTTCAAAGTAGAAACCTCAAGTACAAAGGGTGCATGGCCATTTCTTGGCCAGAGGAGTAAAAGCTCTGCCTCTGGAGGTGGTGAGAGGGGACAGCGTGCCAGTGTCACTAGCACCTTGGTGTCTCTGCCTCGGCTGCCCAGGGCCATCTGTCCTACCAGGGAGGCTAATGGGAAGCTGTGCCTGGCAAAGTATTTGAAGTATGTGCAAGATAAATGCTGCTGCACTTAAGGACTTAATGGCACATAATAACCTGTGCATTTTGATGAAGCTTTTGTCTGTTGTCCATTTTTGGATTTTTATGATGAATAAATATTATGTAACAGGATGCTTATAATGCCAAATGTCTGTTGTTAATTGCCCTGCAGCAGGAAAATCAGGCATAGATTGGAAAGTGCAGCTCTCTACAAAGCCACGCCCATGTTGGATAGTGCAGTCCTGCTTGTATAATTTTCCTCTTGCAGGTAACATGCTCAAAGCTACATTTGTGCAGCCATGCAAGAGTAGAAGTAGTTCCTGTCTGCCTTGTCCCCTGTGGATAAGAGCTGTTTGTTCAAGTCATAAGAGAGACACTGCCAGCCAATCAATAAGCTATTGATTTTATAAATTGTATTTCTGTGGCACATGAGAGGGTGATTCTGAGTTACCTTGACTTTGGTGTGGAGTGGTGGTGGCAGATGGAAATTGGGCGTCTCTATATTCCTACGCTGTAGCTTTGACTTCCTGTAGCACGTCAAAGCTGTGATCAGTGCTTCAGCTGCAAGGGGAGCAAGTCCATCTGTGGTTGGATCTTGTTTAGTGGTAGACTTGGCAATGCTGGAGCAAAGGTTGGACTTCATGATCTTAAAGGTCTTTTCCAACCTGGTTGATTCTGTGATTCTATGATTCTGTGATGAGAAGTATTTTTTAATTGGAAGGTATATTTTAATGAGATGGTGGTTTTGAGATCTAGTGGATTTATAAGCATAATTACTATATCATCAGTTTCCTACATTTGTAACAACATTCTTCTTCTCTGTGTTAAGTACAGACAGTTGCTCATTTGCCAACATTTCGTTCAGCTACTTTCAGAGTGGGGAGAAAAGAAATCACTGGAGTAATACTCAGTGTCACTGTTTTTTTATAAGTAGGCAGTGTCATTTTCAGTAATCCTGAGTGTTTAGGAGTGAACACCAGTAAGACCCTTAAAAATCTGATCCTGTAATTTTTAATGACAGTATTTTGGTTAGGAACTTGATGTTCAGTGGATTTTTTTCATTTATTGCTGTCTCAAGTGCTTTTTTCCCATCCAGAAATGCAACAAAAGTGTGCTCTGTACTTTTTACAGCACAAACTATCCTTTATAACTGTACTGCAGCAACCTATAAGCTAAAGGAGTTTGACCTCATGTGTTTGCATACTGGCACAATAAACCCTCATTACAGAGGTCTGAAAAAGACTTAAAATTGTCACTTCTCCCCATGTCCCTTGGCTTTTAAACTGGGGGACTACTGATGTTCATGAGAAAGCAGTCAATAGGCACCTTTTACAGGACTGCCACAATGGTTTTAATTGCTTATTTTTTATTGGATTGCAAAATTTGATATGTTCATTGGTTATGCATTCACATGGAATGTTTGTTTGGGTCTTAATGGCCTGCTTTTGGGAAGATGTATGAGCTGACTTGGCCCAATCCTTTCCCTAAAGTGAGGAGTTGGACTCAATGATCCTTATGGGTCCCTTCCAATTTGAGATATTCTATGATTAGCCCCATCTAACCCATCTCAGGATGATGTTTGTCCAGCCAGGCCTTTAGAAGCTGCCTCTGCAGGAAAGCCCACAGCCTCCCTCCACAGTCTGTTCTCATGCCTGGCTGCAACCTATGATGAACAAAGTCAAAGCTGTGCATTCACTGACAGAGCAGAAGACGGGGTCAGTGGAGCTTCCTGGCAGTGAATTCCTGCTGGAATGGTTACTAAAACCAAGTGATTTTCCTCACCTACATGTTACATTAACTTCTCATAATACTCTAAGCTCCTCTTGCTAATCTCTTCCCTATATTTTTTTTCAAGCAGGTGAGGCAGCATAGAGGGTTGACCTCCAGTTAGATACAGAATAGCTCTGAAATACAGCTCTCAAATAGCACTTTCTCAGCTATCTAAATCACCCTTTCACAAAACACTCATGTTTCTTCCTTGGTCTTCTTTGCTTTAAACAATGTCTGTCTTTGTCCTCTGGCACTGATTTATTTTTGGTCAGCAGAATGAAGGGGTTCATTGCTTCTGCCAGCCTCAAGCCTGGAAGTGGTGTCATTCAGACCCAGCAGCAACCAGGAGGAGCAGCAGCAAGAAATGTTTTGAGAACTGATAAACTGTAACACCACAGATTGTAAGAGAAACCTAAATGAGGAGCACAAGCCTTTCTGGTCTTGATCAGGGATTTTTCTACCCATTTTTTGGTGACCAGCTATTATTACAAGAGCTGAATTCAAAATTTTAATTGAGCCAATTGCTTAACAGAACTGTGACGTAATGCAGTAGAAGCACAGTGTGAATGCTTTCTTCAGACAGAGCTGCTTCTGTTCCCAAATGTGGTTTTTATGAGACACATTGTCTGGTGGTAGCACAGCATATGGCTCAGTAGTTTGTAGCTTTATTTAAGAACTTGCTATTCATCTGGCTCTGCTCTCTGGCAGGGGCAACTCAAAGCTGTTCCTTGCCTCAGTTTCCTTTTCTGTCAAACGATGGTAATACTTCCTTATTAGGACGGTATTTTGTCCTCTGGATAAAGACAGTATCTTTGTAACAGCAAATATGCCAGCCAGATTATCCCAGCTCTGCTACATCTGCCAGAGCTCATGTTCTTACTTGGTACGTACTTGTCAGAGCTAAAATATTCCCCTTTTCAGAAATCACTCTGGTTTTCTTCATCAGTCCATTAAACCCTTACTGCTGAGCTTCCTCAGACTGACACTTACCTGATAACGTAGAAGAGTTAAGACCTGTTCTAGTGGAAGGTGTCCCTGCCTGTGGCAGGGGCTTGGAGCTGGATGAGCTTTAAGGTCCCTTCTAACCCAAACCAGTCTGGGATTCTATGAAGTGCTTTCCCAGCTCTCTGCCCTTCTCTCCTACCTGAACAGCCACTTGGCTCTGCAGAGTATGGCTGAGTATACAGTGCTGTCCTGGGTTCAGCTACAGCAGTCTTTTTTTCTCCTTCTTAGTAGCTGGTGCAGTGCTATGGTTTTGACTTTCAGTCTGGGAACAATGCTGATAACACCGATGTTTTTTAGTTGTTGCTCAGTAATGTTTACTCTGACCAAGGACTTTCTCAGTCTCATGTTCTGCCAGGGAGGAGGGGAAGCAGAGACAGGACACCTGACCTAAACTGGCCAAAGGGGTATTCCATACCACAGCACGTCATGCCCAGTATATAAACTGGGGAGAGTTACCCAGAAGGCCCAGATAGCTGCTCGGGTCGGGCTGGGTGTCGGTCAGCGGGTGGTGAGCAGTTGTGTCCTCTCCCCTTGTTATTCCTCTTATCATTATTATTGGTAGCAGTAGTGTTTTGTATTATACCGTAGTTACTGGAGTGCTGGTATCTCAACCTGTGGGAGTTACATTCCTCTGATTCTCCTCCCCATCCCTCTGGGAGTGGGGGGAGTGAGCAAGCAGCTGCGTGGTTCCAAGTTGCCAGCTGGGCTTGAACCACAACAAGTGCCAATTCCTATCCAAGCCCCATCCAAGCTGGCCTTGAACACTGCCAGA